GGATGGTTCAAACAAAATGAGACTGTTGCTTCAGTATTGGTTTTTAAATATATATATATATATATTTAATTTTGGAGTTATAATTATAACATTTCCTCCTTCCTTTCTCTCCCTCCAAATCCTGCTATATGTCCTCCCTTGCTGTCTAATTCATGGCCCTGTTTTCTTCATTCGTTATATGTATATACATACACATATATGCATATACCAAAATACATAAGTACAACCCGTTTGGTATGTTTAGTATTACTTATTTATACCCATTTTCAGGACTGACCATTTGGTATTGAGTAATCAATTGGTGTACTCTTCCATGGGGAAGACTCTTTCTCAGTATTCCCTAGTCCCCTGTAGTTCTTTGTGTACTATGGAGACCTCATGAGCCTCTTCCTTCCACGCCAGCAGAATATCTACTGGTGTTGTCCTTGTTCAGATCTTGTTCCGGAAGCTATGTTGGCAAGACTTCATGGGTGTAGCTTCTGAAACTGGTAGGAGACAGTCTCCCAACAAGCTTCCCGATGCTCTGGCTTCTACTATCTTTCCAAAATGACTCCCGAGCCTTAGGTTCAGGAATTACATTGTAGATGCATCACTTGTACCTAGCTCCATAACTCTGCATTCTGATTAGTTGTATTTTCCTGTAATGGTCTCTGTTACAAAGAGGAGTTCCTTTGATGAGGGGCTAGGAGAACACTCTCTTCTGGGCATAATGACAAATATTTAGAATGTACTTAGAAACCATGCTGGTTTAGTAAAGTGATGAGTGTTTCAAATCTCTTTACCTCATTAGCATTAGGGTTTAGTCTCTAACAACTTGCTTAAGCTTCTTAAACACTCTCCTGAGTTATTCTAATACCATTTGTAGAGTAGCTAATTTTGGGGTATTTGTATGTTGGCATACAACTGTGAGTGGTGATGGGGAAAAGACAGGGATATGATAGTCTGCTATTTATTCTCATGTTGTATTGAAATCTTTTAAAGTGTGTGTGTGTGTGCGCGCTAAACATAATACAACTTTGTTGTCTAAACATTTTGACTGTGAGTGGCAGATTAAAAAAGTATCTTTTTATATCTTTTTAAAAATGTTATTAGTATGTTTATATAACCCATTGAATCCAATTTGTGCTACCTATATACTTATCTGTGTGGGGCCATCAATTGGAACATGGCCAACTGGCCAGGGACCAACCCGCCCTCCAAAAAAATCCTGACTCATTTTACCCTGGCAGCCACTAACTGTCAATAGCCCCCCCCCAACTAGGGATATGGACTTGTGAGCTCCACCGTGATGCAGTGTTTATTGGTCTCATCTTGTACAATCAACCACTGTGAGTGCAATGGCCCTGTCATGTCCAGATGACACGTAAAGCAGTCCGTTCTGACGGCCTTTTCAGCACTGTCCTTCATTCATTCTTCTTTTACATCCAAGAGTTCATTTCTGTTAGTGATTCCTGGAAGGCACACCATTATTCTACAACACCTTAGGGAGTTTGCATTCAACTTTGTTGTTGTTGTTGTTGGTGTTTTTGGAATGTTACCTAGATCCAACTGTTTCCCTTATCAGTGTTCACTAGTAAAATACCAATTTCAAGACAAAGTTAATGTATTTATTAACTTATGCATGACTGAGATTTTCTGGACACTACTACTTTAAGTAGAATTGTACATTCTCTATTTTTGCCCTTTTAGAGTAGGATATCTAATATGTATTTCATTTATTGATCATTCCAGCATAGTTACCATTTTCACCCATTTTTAACAACAATTTCTAGTATGCATCTAATAATGACCTATAATTCAAGAGATATTCAATTTATATTTTAAATACATGTTTGCTTATTGAAATTTCAATTTTGTATTCTAGATGGCCACTATCATATATATTAAAGCTCACTTAATGGACTGGCAATGTTACACAGTGGTGAAGCATTTGCCTAACATGTGCAGTATCCTAAATTTCATCCTAGGATCAAATAAAATTATCTAATTGTTTTATATTTTTAAGAAACTAATATACTGACAAGAAGCATTACATTTGAAGGTGATGAGACTCGTGCCCATTTGAATTGCTTCTTCTTCTGAACTTGTGTAATTTCTCTTTCCTTTGTAGAAGAGCAAGGAACAGCATTTTCCCCCTCATCTTTATTCATATTAGACTTTATTTCAAATCAAAGAAGAGAAGTAAAAATGAAATAAAGCTATTTATGATAAATGATTTTAGGAATGCCACTAAATGAGAAGGACATCCTGAGCTTTATGGAAATGATTACCCAGCAATCACTGCTCCAATGTCATCATTGAATATGTGACTGTGTTTTTCTCTTTCCAAGAGACCAGTATGGCATGGGTCTGTTGGGAGGATGTCCGGGGAGAAGTGTGATCTGCCTTTGGTTTGGGTTAGTGTGGATTAGTTCAGATTCCTTCTGGGGTTTCCTAAGACCCATTGGATGGCAGGGGAAGTCCAGATTTTGGGGTCTGACTAAGGAGGCATGGAAGAGACGTAAACTTAACTTGGAACAGAAAGATGGATTACTGTGGTTCTCAGCCATTTGTGTGTCTACCAAAGCTACTTCATACAGGAGCAGCATTCAAGAATTCTCTCAGAAACTCTTCCAGTTTACTTGGAGTGTGTACTGGGAACATTCAGGGATAAAAATTATATCTTGGGATGTGCCTTTTCCATGAAATCAAGTCCAGGAAAATAGAGGGAAGATCTTGAAGTGATGGAGTCATTAACTTCTTTATGGGGAAGAAAAATATAGAAGTTGTCAGGCAGCTAAGTAGTAAAAACAGTGTTTGCTCCAGGATTTTCTAACCTTATTATTTTTGTTGACATTTAAACTCTTTGTGGTGATTTACCTCTGCATTGATTTTGTATTTATATTGTCTTCCTTTTCACAAGGAAGGTTCTCAATATGTGCAAAGTTCAGGCTCTGTGAAACATGGGTTCTCACATGTCAGAACAAAGCTTTTATGTGTTCAATTAGGTTGAGTTGCCTATTATTTTTAACAATGACTTGTTAAGAAATAATGTGTTCCCCTGAAGTTTTCTCTTTACATTATTTTCTGTATAAATTGTGGGTAGAATTCAGGCTGTTTTTTTCTAAACAGGGCTTATGGCCTGTTTAAAAAGGCAGCAAACATAAATTCTTCACCATTATTACTCATATACAAAGCTGTATATTATAGCATCAAGGGCAAAAAATCATCATGTGTCAGATTAGGTAGTGGGTGGTGGGGGAGAGGAATTCATTTAATCATGCTTTTATAATTGAACTTTGGCATTGATTCAAATAATTTTTGTTTAACTCTTTTCCCAATGTTACCTGCATTTTTTTGTTATTAAATACAGCAATATGATAAAGGTTGCAATACAACCTAACTTATTCTAAGGACTTTAGGAAATGCCTTTCTGTCTAGTAACTTTACATTTAGCAGTGAACCTAATTGTAATTTTCTGGCCCTTTTTAGTTGTGAAACACATGAAGGGGGTTTTGAATTTTAAGTTCTGAATCACCATAGGTGGCATCCTGCTTTATGAAGTGGGGTGGTGGGGGCAACTCTGTAGGTGTTTTCAAAATTGCCTCCATGTAATTAAACAATTAGTGGTTAGAACACAGGCATAGCTTTGAGTTTCTCTAAGAGTCTCACTTTGTCCTTGGAATGAACATATGCCCTCTTCCTGCCCATAGAGTAAAGTCACTTCTGGGATGCTAAGTCTGAGGCTGGTGAATAGAACATGCCTATTTTGTGCCATCTATGGTGACTCTGTTCTGTTTTCTATTTCATGCCATGTGCCCTCATCTGTGGTGCATTCTCTAAGTACTATATCAAGTTCCATGAAAGGAAATATCCATGCAAGCATTGGGAAATGGTTTATCAGGTCATATACAGTCTAAGACAGTTTTGATAAATTTGATCCCGCCCCCAGTTCTTATTTATATGCTAAGTCTCTATTTAAAGGGGAATGGTCTAGGCTCCCTATCCTAGGGTACACAATCATTCCAAAATAGAACCACAGCAAGTTCATAGTACCTCTTGGCCCTTCATAAAAATCATCTTGTTTTTCAGGTAAAATGCTTTTATTGGATCTAATAGAAAAGTAGTCTTCATTTTAGGACAAAAAATTCCATTACTTTTCTCTGTTTTTGCCATGTTATTATGTTTAATCTTTACCTGATATAGTATATCAGATCAATAAATCACACTGGTTTGACATTTAGTATTAGGATTAATCAACAAATTATATTTTGATGTTACCAATTTTTAATTGCAGAGGTGGTATAGACATGTACTACTAGATACAATTCTGATGAGGTCTATAAAATTAACTTTTCTGCACAGTTCAGTTCTCTGCACAGATTAGTTATAGATTAGGGAAGGTCTGTGGTGAGTGTCTTACACACATGAATGAGAGAGAGAGAGAGAGAGAGAGAGACAGAGACAGAGACAGAGACAGAAACAGAGAGACAGAGTGAGATACAGAGAGAGAGAGAGAATTCTTTAAGCCAGAAAATGATAAGAGATTCTCTGATTTTGAGACAAACTCACAACTTATTATTTGACTTCAAGTGTCTGACATGTATCTATTGAAAATCTGCCCTGCTTGTGTAAGTTCATAGCACAGGATGACCGCATTAGAGCTAACAATGTTGGAATCTTTCTTGGCGTTACAAAGCCTGCTCACTGAAATTATGTACAGGGTCTGTAAGACAATGTGCTTTGAAGTCCCGGCAATAACCCTTTTGGGAAGGCACATAATTTGTTTGATGGAACCGTCTCCTTGCATTATATCACACAAAAGCCTTCTTAAAGACTCTTAAGCAAGAGCACAGAAAATTAACGAGCTTTGTGTAGTGCAAATTGGTGTCAAGAATGAAAATGAAGGCCCTGTATTTTCCTAAGCCACGCCCCTTAGTCAGGGTATATAAAGGCAGCCTGAGCCCAGAGAGACCATCACACTCACTCCCCTCCTACCTGAGCCATCCACTCCTCGCATCATGTACTACACCGACTTTGAGGGCTCTGTCTTCCCAGGGTGCTACTGGGGCAGCTATGGCTACCCTCTGGGGTACAGTGTTGGCTGTGGCTATGGTAGCACCTACTCTCCGGTGGGCTATGGACTTGGCTATGGCTACAATGGCTGCGGGGCTTACAGAAGATACTGGCCATACGCTCTCTACTGATGTGCTGCAATCTCCCTGGCGTAGATTCATCCCTTCGTGAAGGCTGAGGGGCACCTCCAGGTTCCAGCTTTACCTTCTTCTTCTACTTGCTCATTAATCTCTTCCCAGAAGCTGTGTTTCACGTCTTAACAACCGAGTCTCAAACAAAGGAACTGAAAATCTAGATGATGCCTCAAGCTGCCTCCTCTGGATGCTGTTTATTGGGACTTGAACAGGAGTTTGGCAACCATCGTGACACGCATTGCTTTTGAATTTTTCAAGACTCTCTTGATCCCCCGTCGTGGTGAAGTTGTGGATGTGTCTGTCAAATTCTCAATAAATTTGTCTCAGCTTGCATAATGTTTCCATCCTTGAGTGGAGTTTCCTTTTTTTTTTTTGTATGTGCGCATTTTCTGATACATTGACTGGGGGAGGGAAGCAGGGTTATTTTTAATCACTTAGCCTTAGGAGTTGTGAAGAGGCAAACAATCCTTGATCCTGTGTGATAAATTGGCAAGAGGGCGGTTACTGATACTGAAAAAAGTGGCTTGTCTGAGCCTTCCCCGTGCTGTGAATTAATGCGGCATGGAGGTTGGACTAGAATAAGTCAGCAAAGGAGGATTTTTATGAGTCTGCCGTCTCTCATGCCAAGGATGCCCCTGGTGTTCTTTGTCATCCCTCTCCCGTCTCAATATTTCTATCCGACCCTCAGACAACCAACACAGGAGCAACTTTCACAGTTATTCTGTGTTACTGTAGATGAAACTCAGCGTGATCTCTCTCCCAGGGAGTAATGACTGCAGAATTTAGCACCATGTCCCCTCTTTAAGGACTCTGGAGCATTAAGTAATAGAGAAGGTACACACATCCTTTGGGAGCCTGAGATTCTGTTAAGTGAAGTGATAAATCCCCTGTATCAAATCATCTTAGATGTCGACTTCATAGCTTAGAGGCACACAGGTTAGAGACAACGATGGGAAGCTTCTTAATCTTTGAAGAATCAATACCAGGTAGTAAGCTCCACTATTAAAAGATATGAGCTATAACAAATGAGTATCTCTGAAGACATATCAGCCTTTCTTTCTATTCTGTTAGAGAAGAGAGTAATAGCTCTTTTATAAGACATGTCAAAAATGTCTCAATCCTCCTATTGGAAATATTTTTGGTATGGTACAAATAGTCTCAGCAATTTGGCTGAGTTCTGCATTTTTACTGACTACCTGCAAATGCTTTTATTGCACATTAATCACCTCAAGATGTAAAGACTGGAGAAATCACTTCAGAAGAGAATTTTCTCCACCACATTTCATCCAATGGACATCTTTCAACAAACATTGAAGTCAAGGATACCTAGTAGCATATGGTTTTCTTTTTAACAGCAGTGAACATCATCACTGCCAATGAAGCCTCTAGTTCATTCTAGTAGCCACAATGTTAACTCAGGCTGAGAACTATGAATTAGATAAACCCACAAGTTAGAATAAAGTAGGTAAAGAGAGATTTAAAAACATAGATCTAGACCAAGTAATTGGAATGAGGAGATTGACTGATTTAGAATAATGACTGACTGCTATAAGGTCTTGGGTTCAACAGATACCAGAGAAGCTCTGATCCAGTGTTTCTGAAGCAGAAGTGTACAGGAGAGTGGTCTGCATACTGACATGAGATATAAATTCGCATGTCTCACCCTCAGGGACTCTGGCTTGGTGCCCATCTGGATAAGGTCCAGGGGATTCTGGCACCTACAGTTTAAGAAACAGTTTGAGGCTACTCTCTCTCTCTCTCTGTGTCTCTCTCTTTCTCTCTCTCTCCACACACACAAACATGCATATGCATACATATACACATACAAATAAACACATATATACACAATATCCTATCTATCTATCATCTATCTATCTATCTATCTATCTATCTATCTATCATCTATCTATCTACCTAATCTGTCTGTCTCTTTGTTTATCATCTATTAGTCATCTATCTATCCCATCTATCTGTCTATCTATCAATCAATCAATATATCTATAATCTGTCATCTGTCTATCTATCTATCTATAATCTGTCTATCTGTTTATCATCTATCCATCATCTCTCTCTCTATATATATATATATCTTCTATTATATGTCTGTCTGTCTATCCACTTGTCTATCATCTCTTCTTCCCTCCCTCACATTCTTTTCCTTCTTCTACCCATCTTACCATGTCAGCACAGAATGAAGCTTGCACCTCAAAGGGGATAGAAAATATTTTTTCTTTCACCAAGTAGGAATGACTGAGAATGGAAAACAGACTCACATTGCCCCCAAATAACATGTTTCAACATAGAAAGAGTTTCATGAACCTTTTTTTACCTGAAGGATAAAAAAGAAAGTCATAAATCAAGGCATGATTTGAATATATTGGTGGGGCTATCAGGGAGGTGGTTTACAGCAGAGTGGGGAAATCTGCACTGTAGGTTTCAGATGCTATCTTGTGGCTGCAGTTTTACCTTTTGGGATGATGGAAGCTAGTGGTCTGCTAAAAAATGCTTTCCAAAGGTTTTATGTGATCATCAAAATAATATTAAATCAGGCTCAGAGCTGGACAATCAGTGGCTACTAAGGAGGCTAAAGATATTTTGGCTCTGAATCTGTAACTTTCTCTGATCATGAAGTTGTAATCAGCTAATTAGAAAACAGGTGCGGCTTCAGTAATTCTTCTGGGAGCATCAAGTTCAGGGTCATCTGTAAATTGCAGCCTTGATAAAGGAAAATCATTAACTTAGAGCTTCCTAGAACATCCAGCAAAGACAAAGGCAGAGGGAAGATGATGTCACACGCAGGAAGTTTGGTGTATGCATCAAGGGCCACATGTACGATGGGGGTCTGTCAATCAGTTCCCGGGAAGCTTCTGGGATGTTTCAAATTGGAGATTCTTTTTGGATACCATGTCTACAAGTGTTCAAAAAAAAAGAATTGTATATTAGAGATTCAGTAGACTAGTATTTCGGCACCAGACACCATGATATGCTATATTATCAGGAGGTTTTCATGTTCACACTTTGTTGTGCAATAGGAATATGTTCTGCAGTATGTGAAGTAATTTGACTTTCTTTTCAGTTTTTAAGGATGGATTGCAGGCCCCCAGGGATACAAGAAAAGACACACTTATGGGTCACAGTTATTAATCTTTTTAAGACTGAATTTTGCTTTAACCACTCGTGGATCTTTAAAAAGTACATGTATCAGCCAGGCAGTGGTGGTGCACACCTTTAATCCCAGCACTTGGGAAGCAGAGGCAGGAGGATCTCTGTGAGTTCGAGGCCAGCCTGGTCTACAAAGCTACACAGAGAAATCCTGTCTTAAAAAGTACACATATCAAGAAATAACACTTGGGAATTAGAGAAAATAATGAGAAAAGTAAACCTATGGTGCCTGAGAATCTGAATTGAGAATATTCAAGTAATTTGTGCTACCAGTTCAGAGAAATCATAAACCCATATTTAAATCTTTTCATTTTTTTGTCCTTTTCAGGTTCCTCTGTTAAGTGTGAATGTAGGAACTAAGAAGATTCACCTATGCTGATAGAGACATCATAAAATTAAAACAACCAATACATTTTAATAGGTAAATTTTCAGAAAGAATAACCAGTGCTCTTAACCACTGAGATGTCTCTTCAGCCTCCCCACCCCCAAATAAACAGAAGATTTGATGCTATCTATGCTTGGGCTCAGTGGTGCTCTTCGTAGAGTGTAGCTTGGTTTTTCTAATGGAAGATCTTGGCTTTGAGCTGAGGTTCAGTGCTCTGCATCTTGTGTGAGAGCTCATTATAGGCAATTGGATTGCACTTCAATTTGCTCAGTAAACATAGAAAGGATGGTAAGCATCCATTTGCTAACATCTTATAAGTCATCCTGAATCCATAGTCATTGGTGGGTTGCAAGCCTCATGCATGTGCGGTTTATGGCTTAGGGTCCTCTCTCAAAGTCACACAAATTGATTTTTTTTGGATAACTTAACATTTACTTTTTCTAACTGTGTAACCATGATATGTGTAGTTGAGTTCCCTGTGGGATGAAGGTTGTATAACTGGAAAATATTATTTTTATTTGAATATTGACATCTTACTTTCAGAAGAATCTGTCTATATATCTAACATCTATTTATCTATCATCTACTATTTATCTCTCTTCTACCTATCTGTCTGTATATATGCAGAGAGAGAGAGAGAGAGAGAGAGAGAGAGAGAGAGAGAGAGAGAGAGAGAGAGAGAGAGAGAGAGAGAGAGAGATCCTTTTTGGATGAATCCTGGCATTTTAGAATTCTCTAATGAGTTATGAACTGAAGAATTGTACTCTCAGTCCTCTCCTAGACCTCAGACAATGTGACTTCCTCTCTGTTTATTTTTTTCTTACTGGTTTCTTCTCATATCCACCTTCTCTCCATAGAAGGAGAGGGTTTTGAATGCTTCAAGGTTCTTTAGAAGTTATCTTTAATATTTCCACCATCTACAAATGAAAAACATCTCCCATGTGTTTGGTTATGTGCATCCCATTTTCAGGCTTCCTATCCATCTCAGGAAGCCCCTCTACACTGGTCATTAGACTTTGAAACTCCTCGATTACTTGGCAGGAATAACTCAGCAGTGGCAACTGAATAGGAAGATGTTAATATCTATTTACCCGCTGGGGTTCATTCTGGTGTTCTAAAGTCTCTATGGATCTGCTGAACTGATTTTAACAGAATATTTGCTGCTCTCTGTCTCAACGAATATTTCCCTAGTGTTCTCTAAAGGTTGTTTTGAAGGTATGCATCATCTGTCCTTCTCACAAGGTTGGAGAAGTATTCTCTGAGAGGCATTCTGTTTGTGACTAGGTTATCTGGTCATACTTATCTGTAAACATATTTCCCACAAAACAAGACAGTCAGGCATCTGAAGACAGTAGAATCTGCATATAAGAAAAACAATAAAATGACTCACTTGTGTTTTCACCTTTCATGGTATAGCTTTGTCAAGTTTCTTAATTCCTAGAGAACCAGAGGACTCAAGCTTTCAAGGCAGAATCAGTTCCTAATTGGGTGTGTGGCTAGTCTG